TTAAAAAAAAGATGTATTCCAATTAAACTCATCAGGATTCTCATACACTTGGGATAGGAAGGGTGAAAAGTGTTGTTGACGTCTAACAATTTAATCTGTTTGCGAAAGTACTGGTAGGACAAGGTTACAAGTAAATACAGTTAGTGGGATTCTTCTAACGCTGTGAGTTGGAGAAGGATATTTAACAATGTTAAATAACCAAGGACATATCTGAATATTTTTTAAAAGGATGTAACATAACTGAGATCATAATGCTTCATCAGTTTATTTTGCTTTGTTTGACCTTTCATTCAATAATAATCCTTGCATTTGATACAGCGCCTTATCATGTCTTTGAGGCGGCTCAAAACGCTTCACAGAATACACTGTAAAGTGAATTCACTCTATATTTTGTGGGCGAAACACGGCAGCCAATTGCGCACAGCGATGTCCCACAAACATTTGTGGATTTCAAGTTCCATCATGAAATTTTTTTTTTAAGAAAACTTGAAACTGATGAAGCTTTATGACCTCAGTCATGTTGCACCCTTCTAATTGTCTGAGTTCTCAGTTATTATGAATGAAATTTGATGTAAATACATAACACTGTGCAATTAAAGGAAAATGTCAATTAGGCTATTTATATTAGACCCAAACCATGTTGCAGAGATCACTCCATAGTCCGTCATCTTCACCTGACTTATTTAAATTTTTTCCACCTCCTTAGCCTTTAAGCTTGTTTTGGCAGTTTTATTAACTTGAAAGGTTCTCACAGTAACATAGAGCATTTCTTCCAACCACAACAACATATATTCCAATTCTTAATACTTAATAATAATTCATAATAATTAATACTGAATGAATATTGCAGACTTACATTTGAAACAATGAGCACATTCTGCATCTTAATACAGTAAATAATATTCCTTATATTTGAATATAATCCACAACTGTTTGTGGGACATCGCTGTGCACAATTGGCTGCTGTGTTTCACCCACAAAATATATGCAGTGAATTCACTTTACAGGATATATTGTGAAGCGCTTTGAGCTGCCTCAAAGACATGATAAGGCGCTGTATCAAATACAAGGATTATTATTGAATGAAAGGTCAAACAAAGCAAGATAAACCGTTGAAGCATTATGACCTCGGTTATGTTACATCCCTTTAAGTATTATTCAGATATATCCTTGGTTATTTAACATTATTAAATATTCTTAATTATCATTTGTTTTTCTCTGAAATGTTAAATGCATTACGTTTATTGACTCAGAGTCAGCTGCTGTCACAGTGAGCATTAAAGCAATCCCATCACATTTAAACAGACAGAATTTTTGTATTTAACCATATTCATGTTGAATCTCCACTTACCAATCCAGCAAATCCCTTACTAATACCATGAAATCTGTAATAAAACTAAGAGGCTGTGTTAATAGCTCCTGACAGGGTAAAGGCAGATCATTGCTGCAGTTGCCTTTCTGTTTAAATGATCCGTGTGTGTTCTGCACAGTCCAAATATCAGCTACATGCAATGCTATAATTTCAGAATGTTTGAGGCATGGTGTAAGTTATATTTACGATATTTACATGTACAGTCAGCCAAGACTTTGTGTGTAAACCGTGTTTATATTTATGAAGGTTAAATTTAAAAAGTGAGAGGTGTGGTGTACGCTACATTTGGCAGGTCGTACTCCAGTTGTGAGGGATTTCAAGCAAGTAGATTTATTCATGATTGGGTATATTTAGAAACGTTAGTGTTTTAAAAAAAAGAACAACACTTTGATGTTATTTCATTTTTTTTGGTGTCATTTTGGCTTGTTACTTGTACCTGTATATCAAGAGTTGCCAACTCTACATTTTCTTCTCTATATGAGCTCTTGTATCTTGCTTTAACCCTAAATGAATATTACTTTACAGTTCTACTTACTGGTTCACTTGTAGTGGGTCTGCATCCATAAGGCAGTATTGTGAGAGCCTGCAAAGATTTTTATATTACCACTGATATCCTAATGAACAGCTCAGACCCTGCTCAACTTTCAAAGCTTTTTCTATCAAATTGCAATCATTCACTTGTATAACAGAAGTTAAAGACAAACGGTGGCCTTTACATCCCATCCTATTATCTGTGCCAACCTCCTTCTGTTAATTCAATCCCATTGTTAGTGTTTTATTACCAGGGGTGATATTAAGTCATTTGGTGTTCTATGTATATTCATGAAGCACTGGTTCATTCTTAGTGTGATTCATCATGACCGAGTGGGCAATGCTAAAAGATATCTCAAATGCCGCTGCACTAATTAAGCAAAGTTTGAAAGCCCTTTACTGGACCTTAGAGATGGGAGCATTGCTTGGGAACAGAACACACCACTGATCAGCTAATCATGACAGAAGCTGATGTAATAAAAAGTGTAAACAAAACGAGAAATACTGCAGATGCTGGAAATCTGAAACAAAAACAGAAATCGCTGGGTACGCTCACGTGGACCCCAAACGTTGACTCACTTTCCTTTCTCCATAGATGCTGGCAAGGCTTTCCAAAAAAAGACCAAAACTTTTCACGGTTCTGTCCTTGAATGGTTCAGATCATACCTCTCACACTGCCTCCACTTCATCTCCACAAACGGTTTCTCCTCTAGCCGCCCCACCGTCTCGTGCGGTTCCTCAGGCTCTGTCCTTCGTTCCCTCCTCTTCAATATCTATATGCTCCCTCTTGGTGACATCATCTGCAGACATGGGGTCAACTTCCAGATGTATGTGGATGACATCCGACTGTACCTCTCTGCCTCCACCCTCGACTCCAGGACCAAATACTGTACTGATAGACTGTCTGTCAGACATCAAGTCCTGGATGAGAGCTAACTTTCTTCAGTTGAACATCAACAAGACCGAGGCTCTCTTGATTGGCTCCCGTTAGCGCCTCCTCACCTCAGGCGCTGACAGCATCACCATCCATGGTTGCACACTCCACCTTGCTAAGCCAGTCCGGAACCTTGGAGTCTTGTTTGACACTCAACTATCTTTTCTACCCCACATCCATGCCATGACTCGCTCTGCCTTTCCCCCTCTTCGGAACATCGCCTGGCTCCATCACTGCCTCACACCACAGGCCACCGAAACCCTCATACACGCATTCATAACATCCAGGCTTGACTATGCAAACTCCTTGCTTGTGGCCTCCCCAACTCCTCCCTCCATAGGCTGCAGATCATCTAGAACTTTGCAGCCCGTGTCCTCTCCCGCACCAGGCTCTGTGATCGCCTGACTCCACTGGCTTCTCATTACACAGAGGACACAGTTCAATATCCATGGCCTTGCCCCCACTCCTCTGCGACCTCCTAACTCCCTACCATCCAGCCCGTTCCCTCTGCTCAGCTAGCTCCAGCTTGCTTCACATCCCCCGCCCCTCCAGTGGCGGGTGGGCAGGCCTTCTGCCACTCTGCCCCCACCCTCTGGAACTCCATCCCGCAGTCCCACCACCTTGCCCCCTTCAAGACCCATCTCAATTCGCTCCTCTTCAACTGTGTTTTCGCTACCCTCCTTCCCCTTCTGCCCTGCACCCTCCCCAATCCCGATCCCCAGCTCAATCCAAAACACTGACTGTCCAGCATCTTGGGATGACCTTCTGACATGAAAGGTGCTATACAAATGTAATTTTGTTGTTGACTAACTTAACACTAATTTAAGTTAACATTATTAGTATTCAGTAGTACCTCTTCTCACTACTATGGCCATGGATTTCTAATGTAGCGTTGGCAGACACCAGCCACCTGGATCTGCCAGTCACGTCTTGATGAATTTCAGCACCTCGAACTTGCACACTCAGTGGAACATTTCAGTGAGATGGGTCTTATTTCAGAGAAGGAACAGGTTTCTTTTCGCCTTGTAGCAAGTGCACATGTCACATCAGTGACAAATTACATTAATGCCAGAGCTCCCACAATGAACTGGCTTTCTCTGCATTTTGTTCCTTTTCTTTGCCTTCAATATAGCACATGGGGTCGAGGGACAACAAGATGTTCAATTATTGATTCTTTGTGTGAGAACCTTCTCAAAAGTTAACCAATTAGTCCTGAGGTAAATTCTTTCCCTGGCCTAAATTGAGCACTTTGGAGACTCCTCTACTTTAATTGAAACCAATTTCATATCAAATTAAACAGTAAGCAAGTTTGAGTTGTTGGCATGTTGTTACAATAACACTACAGCTGAAGTGGAGCTCTTCAGAAGTTGTTGTGAAATACATGGCAGACAATCCAACCATGCAGTATCACATTCAACCCAAGAGACTTTCTTCCAAGTAACATTCAGCTGAAACCATTACTTGATTATGAATATCTAGATTTTCATAAGTATACATCTAAAACCACTGCAGTAAAGAACAATGGATTTCATACATTTATTTTAGAGTAATATCATCAAGGGAGATGGGGGAAGACCTGAAAAGCAGGATTAACAAATAGGGTGACTTAGAAAAATAGGCGGCAGTCACACAGATACGATGGAGTTGCGCTGAAAATTCCTATGTGTCTATAGACATAATCTTAGCATTGTTAATTTGAGATTTCAATGAGTGCAGAATCCATTAGTTAAGATTTCGCTTTGTGATGGCAAAATCCTAAAATGGGTTTAAAGTAACCAAAAGTCCAATAATCATGTGTATGACTACAATGTGAACTCTTTAAATCCAATTTCAATGCATTCTTCCCCCTCCCCTCAAAGAAACAAAATTCACTTGTGGACTTCATACCTGGACTAAATCACCTCTTCCCTCATTGCTGCCTAGTGTTTAGACCCTGCATACTTGGTAAGTAGAGTTCCAAATGATTCAATTTAGTCACAGTTTCATTCGTACAATGCAGCATAAACAATTTATATGAAATTACAATCTATGTCTCAGAATCCAAGTCATCACAATGAGAAAAAAGGCAGTAGTACCAATCACCAATATTAAAAGATCATTTTATTTTCAGTCATGCATCAATTAACAAGGTCTAATCCAATCATACGGAAAAAAAAATCTGCTTCTGTCTAAATGGATTCTGGACTGCATTCCAAAGTATCCTGAGTAAATGCTACTGATGGAACATTCTTGGTTTATTCTTAACAAGGTGGTCATTTTGGATACCGTCCAAAAAAATCTCTCTTCTCCTTCAAGTTGTATTCTTAGTCTTTGATACCGACTTTCTGTTTTGGAAGCCGCTTTCTCTCTGGGAGCAATAACCATCCTCCACTCAGAGGCTGTTCCTTTTAATAACTTCCAGTTCTACCGGAGGATGAGCTTCTTTTAGTCGTGTGTGAAAGATCGATTTTGCTTCGACAGTTTTGTGATGCACTACAAATAACATTTCATCTTGAAGTCCTTCGTTAGGGAGAATGTATATTGACATTCCAAGCTCTGCACCGTCTTTTTCCTAATGTGTGCATTTGTTTTATTGCTGCTTTCATATGGCTGTTGTGGAGATCAGCTCTTAGCACATCAATGTTGACTCAATCAACGCAGTGGAGCTTGCTGCAACTGTGCTAGTGCAAGATACAAGCCGCTAGATGTCACCATTGAGAGAATTAAAAACACTCTGGGACTTGAAATGCCAATTGCCCAGTTCATACCAATAGTCAAACCTAAAATTATAAAATCAATCTGTGTTTAATGGCCAAGCTGTGGTTTCACACCATGAGAAACGTCCCTTTCGTAAAATATCAGAAACTACGTGTCAGGACATGGGGCAACAGCCGGCCTCTTCATGTTTGGAGAGAAGGGACATCCTGGAGAAGGTCTTTGAGCAGCTCTTGCATTGATATCGCTTCACATCTGAGTGCGTCTGCAAATGTGCTCTGAGGTTTGAGCGATCTGCAAAAGCCCGGCTACAGTGAGGACATGCAAAGGGCTTCTCCCCTGAAGAGAAGGAATACAAATACACTGTTAGTTTGGACAAACCAGAATCACAGAGAAGATATTAATTTCTTTCTTAGTGTTACATCCAGGTGAAAATACAGAAAGTTAGCAGAGTAAGTTTGGGTTTAAATTTTCTTGCAGTTGATCTAGATTTAGAAACCATTGAATGGTGAAAGTCTTGTTGCATCAATGTAGAAAAGGCAAGAAACTTGAGTTGCTAATACGCACCATACCCAACTATCAGATGTTACAAGTGACTTTTCTTCCTTCAAGGCTAGGAATGACGTTACCACAACCCAACAACTTTCCAACTGATATATGAACTTAAAGCGCGAGGAATTGGGAGGCCAAAGCTTGCATTTACCCCTATGTGAATCACTATTAGTGCATCAATAATGCACTGTATATTTGGGACACCATTATAAAAATCATTTAATACAAACAGCTTGGAATATATTTAAAAAATAAATTACTATTGGGAAATTAAGAATTATTGATAGTTGAAAAATTCCCTTTTCTGATTTACCTCCATATCATTCCTTTATGGTCTCATTTATAATTGCATCTGTGTGGATCACTAAAACAATAAAACTCTGCATTGATTTCAAGATTGCACACTTATATATTTGGTTTGATCTCTTATCTTAGTAACAGATTTAAAAAAATAGATTTTAATACATCGTAGGAGTACACAAGAGGGACAAAAAATAGGTTCAGGAACAACTTTAGGAATTTGGCTCTGAGTGGCATCCAAATACATCTGCAATGTCAGTTTCAGAGAACTGAAACAATTGGAAAAAATGGTTCCCATTTGGCTTTGAGTCATCATATCTGCAGCCAACTCAAATTCAAAGTGAAACTATGCAGGTTCACTTTTAATGTGTACTGGATCACACCTGTCAAAATACTATCAGGATGGAGAACAAACAATAGTTACAGGAGACTTTCAAGAATACATATGTGTATTGGCTCCTCATAATACACGTCAGCTTTTAAATGTAACTTTTTGGCAACATCTATTTTAGACACCGTGGTAGTGTTATAGTAATTCAGCGGAATCCAGCTAATGAGGCATATGAAACTAGGGCAACTGATACAAAAAGCAATGAACGCAAATAAAATTGGTTTTGCAAGATATATTTTTCAGGGAAAAATGCAACGTGTATCAGTTTAGTTACGTGAGCAGACAATTCAGCGAATCCAAATCCAACATGAACAGCAACAATTTACATTTAACTGGAGCCTTTCAGGTTGGGGGAGCTGAAGAAATGATGACAATGGAAAAATACTCAATATTTGCCATCCAAACATATCTTCTACACAACAGCAACATACAGTAACTATTCTAGGCAGTCATACAATTATTCTCAGGTAATTATGTGGAACAAGTTTTTGCAAAAATATTTCACATTCTGAAGACTTAGACCATGAATTTACAAGTCCATTATTTTGCTTTAAGACTCCAACCTCCTAGGGAAGGAACTATCTCAGAAATGGTCTAAGAGCATTCTCTCTTACTTACCAGTGTGGGTTCTGATGTGCCCCTGCAAGAGCCAAGGTCTAGAGAAGGCTTTACCACAGATTTTGCAGACACAGGGCAGTGTATGTGTCCTTATGTGCATCTTCAAAGCACCCAAGCTGACATATTCCTTATCACAGTATTTACAGTTAAAGTATTTTCTGGTCTGTGATTCACAGTGAAGCTGCCTGTGTTTAGAGAGCCCAGATAAAGTGTTATATGCCTTGTGACACTGAAGACACTCAAATTTCTCCAGTGTTTCCATGCCAGTGCTTTCAGTTTGAAGCATTTTCTCCTGTGTGTTACCATCTCCTTCAAACACACCATGGTTAGTGGCTCTTCTCTTGGCTCTTTTGGAAGGGGATAGGTTGAGGTCATTAGCTGCGTCTCTGAATGGGGTGTTGGTGCCTATGACAGCCGGACATTCCTGAACGCTGATCTCCAGGCTCGGTTGTCTGCTTACTGGTGTCTCTGTTCCAATCTCAGTGTCTAAGGGAGGGGGCAAACGTGCTCGGACACTGATAGGAGCTCCGTCCCACAATCTCGGTGGATCACAGATGATGGGGGTGAGGATCTCAGGCTGAGGGATCAATGGAAATGTCAACCCTTCATATAAATAGGGCGAAATGTAACTTGCTGTGAAGAAAAAAAGAATTTCTCAATCACGTGTGTGTTTTATATATAGGTAGGCTGTGTTTTCAGTATTCTGTTATAGAAAAACTAGTGAAGTATTTAGCACAGACAAGTACATTTTGAATTGCACAGAATGTAAGACTTTACAAGGTCATAATATCATCTCTGATGAAGTTGATACCTGATTGGGGAATATTTCTAGTTACTTAAACATTCCAAATTATTTGCTCTTGCAGTTATCATCATTTTTTAAACCAAGATTTCACACTTAACCATTTGCAGCCGAGACTGCACTCAGCTAACTGTGGAGTAGCTTTTATTTCAGCAATTCAACCCAGCTCAGGGAGTTAAATGTGCAGCAGTAACAGCATGAAACAATTTGCCTTTCAGACAACCAGACATTACTCTTTGTAAGAAAGCAATTCTAGTTAGAGTACAGTGCTGTGGAAAACACTAAAAAACACAATGAAATGCTTTCAATTCAGCCTTGGAATTACACTGATGCTCAGGTCATTGAAACATCAGGTGCAGATCTCCCAGAAGATTCAAATCCCAGCAAAGTCTATTTTATTATGGCATCAATTTAGTAGCTATAAAGGCCTCATTCCAGACTGCTGTTAGACTAAAGGGGACATTTCAACATGGGTTAGATTTAATACATTTTATAAACGTAGGAGACATCAGCTCTAGGAGTTGAAGTAGGATTTTACCAGCCGCCTCTGTATTTATATTTAAATACAATGAAAGAGACTGAAAAAAATAGAGTTGTTTCAGGAAGCAAGTTTCCGATTACTTGTACAAGGAGAAATCACTGCATTTAATTTAGAGAACACAAACTAGTCAGTTGGGGAAAATCATGGCTATTCAGGCTTTCCATTATCATTTGTAGATTTTAAAAAAATGTGAGGTAGCAGGGAGAGATGGAAGAAATCATTCTTATAACTAATAAGCATACAATAACTTTAAAGCCCAGTAAAAGCTATCAAATAAAACTGGCAAGTTTTATTTGAAAGACAAGTTCAACAATATTTATTTTCACTTAGAAAACATTTGCAACAAAATATTACTTATAGATTTCAATGATGGATGTTCCTCTGTACATGCATTGTAATAAGCAAAATTAGACATTACAGAACTTAAGAAAACAATTTGGTTCACCAGATTCCCTATAATAAAGTTAGCTTTGTTTGCGTAAGTAACATGAAGTTTGTTAAAGATTTACATCAAAGACGGTGTTATAAATCCCGAATCTCACGCAAAGGAACAATTTTGCCAGTTAGTTAGAAAATCAGTTTGTTTTCCCCACATATGGCATTTGTTCACTTTAATGAAATTTTATTTTTTGCTTGTTTTGTTTCAGCCAATTCTCCCTTTAGTTTGTTTAAAAAAAAAATTCTGTGGCACAGTTTTTTGCAGCTGGTTGTATTTGACAAGTAAAAGTTTGATATTTAAAAAAAAAATACTGGACCTTTAATCATTTTGTTTGGAAGGGGGAATTGGCACTTAAAATAATTCACTGTCCTTCTTCCCCAAGAATAAAGGGGAAGTCGCAGCAAACGTCCCAGCAAACTTACACAGGCACTATCAGGAATAGGCTAAGCTGGTGTCAAAGGGGGAGAGTGGCTGAGTTGATTTTTTTTTAATGGTTTTCTTTTGCAGGGAACAAAAAAAAGTATTTCGATTTGCCTATTTAGTACACGTTGTGAAGTGGTGGAGTGAGGATGTGAATAAAAATGAGACCTCAGTGTGAGGGCAATGCACCTGCTGGTTCTGAACTTTCCAGCCCACTCTTTGCAGACTCTCTCCTGTTCAAAAACTCTCTATTTCTCTCTTTCCTCTTTCAGCCTTAGAGGAGAAAGACTCACAACTCAATATCACCATCAGCCACTTCTTTTATACAGTCATATGATGGGGCAGCCAGCAGAATATATTTTATACAGGAGTGGGGAGGGGGGGGAATAAAAGAGAAAAAATATAGATTGCAAATTAAAAGTAGAACCCAAAGCAAAAAAAAAAACCCAGAAATAACTTTTTAAGAATATCATTTGAACAGCTCAAGTTCACTTTTTTTTATTAAAAAAAAGCACCAAATAAATCAATATTTTTTAAAAAAGAAACTTTAGATGCTCACCATTCTGGGTCTCCAGTTGACTGTAGTTGGGTTTTTTGTTGCTGCAATGTTTCTTGATGAGGAATGAACGGGGCATGGCTGTTTTCACACTGGGATGGTGCAGATTTTAAAGCCCTTTAAATGTGAAATCCCCTTAAAGCTGAGATGCAAAAAGAAAACACTACCCCCACACACAACATGACATGGCCAGTGAAGGAACAAGTGGAATGAAAGGAGCTGAAGCCCAGTCTGTCCCATGCATTCCTCACTTGTGGAAACTATCTGACTATCAGGTGCAGGAGGTCAGACTTTATTAACATAGACCTCCTGTCGAGCCAATTAGAGAGAGGAGAGAGAGAGAGAGGAAGAGGGAGAAAGAACAGATCAAGCAGGGAGGAGCCAGACCTTGTCCATCTCACTTCCCAGCACAACAGGTGCATCTCAGAGCAGGAGGTCCAGAGCTCACACTCACTGTTATTTCCTAACGTGAATGAAGTTGGCAAAGTGATCTCAGGCTGCGGTCAAGATAAACATAGCATTGCACATGGAAAGCTTGACACTTTCCTTGGATAATAATCCCTCCCCACCCCCCCCAAAAACAAAAAAATGCGGTCATTTGTTTGTGGGACACTGTCGTGCACAATTGGCTCCCGCTTTTCACCCACAAAATACAGTCAATCCATTTTACAGTATATTCCCATGAAGTGCACTGAGATATCGCAGCGATGAAGTGATAAGACACGATAAGAAATGCAAGGATTATTATTATTATAAAGTAAACTTTTACCAGTTTTTAAGAGCCATTTTCCATTCGTGTTTTCCCCACCTAAGAAATGACAGCACAAATAAGTTGTGTTTTTTTTTCTATCTGGTGTAGTACCAAAAATGTTTTTAAAATCACCGCTATTCTAATAGGAAATACTGTACATTTTTAAAACTTCCACTGATCTAAATGAGAGTCGTGAGAATGTGGAACAGACTGTCCAAGAAGGCTTTATAGTAATCCAATCGATTAGGATGTTTAAAAGGAGGAGAGACAGATTCTCGGGAAGTAAAGGTATTAAGGAAAAGGAAGAAGACAGGGAAATGGAACTTTAAAGAGACTAATTATGAACTAATATAAAATGGCAGGTTCAATGGTCGACTTATGTGATGAATTATATCTTATTCATTTGCTATCCTTTTAATTGAAAACAAATTAGACATAATAGGTAAATTATGACATCCCATTTATTTATATGGAGAGTGTTTTATAGGTAATAACTAGCTGTAGGACATGTGTGTAGCATACACCTTACCCTGTATTATGGAATATTAGTTTTGCAATTAAGGAACTATATATGCTTCCTGTTGAGGCAGACAGCTCCTTGTGCAGATACAGTGCTCATTGTATCCTCACGTTTCTCCAAGGCTTGAGAGTTTCATTTATGCTGGCAGAAGGATTGTGACGAACCTAAGGTTATCTTTCAATCATTTGTAAGTTGAGACTGGAAACATCAATTTAGCGATTCCATGTTGTTACCACACTCACATGTCTCTCTCGGGCTGAGATAAAGTAACGTTCCCCCTAACACACCTTATCAGAGTTTCAAAACCCAACACTTCCTGTTTTCCACACCTGCCATCTCTGTGGCTTCTCTGAACAAGGCTACCAAGCCTGGGGCTTTCTCAGTTTGTTCTTCATTTCTTAAAATAATTTTCTTTTCATGTATTTAGTTTTATTTTAGGACCTGGACTACTGCATCTCATCCTTTTCAACTGGCACCAATTGCCAATATTCCAGCTCAAGCCAGCAGAGGGGAGGTATGGGGTGGGATCTGTGCTGTTACTGATGAGTGGATTAAACCTTGATAATCATGGTTGTGGGACTTCTTTGTTTTTTTTTGTATAAAGAAAATGATAAGCGATGTCTCTATATGTCTTAACTTTATTCTCCAAAGTAACACCATTCCGCATTTGAAGCCCCTCACTTTCCATGCCTCATCCACTCAACAGCTTTCAATACGTTCAGATGCAAAGTCGATTTCCCCCTGGAAATGAAGCCTCTCCATTTCAGGGAGACAGACGCTCCATCTAGTGGCATAGCCAAGCATTAATGGTACTGTATTTTCATGGAGCAACTGGTCAAAATGAAATCTAAACTTGAGCTGTAATGTATCTGGGTTGGTGGCCCTCTCTTTAGTCACCTGTTCTATTGGACCATCCTGGAAAATACTGACCTTTGTGTGCAGTAAAATTCCTTCAACAGTAAGGCAAGATATTGTTTACTACTTTTTTAAAAAAAAAACATTTGAAACACATGCACCACAAGATTATTTAGCAATGTTTTCAATTTATTTTTGGAGGTACATTATAAACCATTGTTAATCCCAATGGTAATATCATATAGAGGCCTGCCCCATGTAATCAGCAGCATAAATTCTACTAGAATCCAAATTTCATCAGCTTGGCTCTATAATGCTGAAGGTAAAGTCTCAGATGCGTTTAGTTTTGCCACCAGCAAACACAAAAACAGCCGGAAGTTTGTCCAGTCCTATAAGATCTTCTGAAAGGCTTTTTCTACGTAGTGATACACAGAAAATGATCAGTGCTGTAATAGGAGAGAAAAATTGTGCTCTGAATGCAAGTTAGCACCATGAGAATATGTTGTTAATAGTTGCAATAAAAAAAAATTTGATTTGACTTTTCAAATCGGGAAGGATTTATTGCAAGGGGTATATTTTGCAACCACACACTGATTTCCTACAAACAGCCATGAATTGAATGGCCAGTTTTATCTGGGGGATTATTGGCCAGGACACCAGGAGAAACAATCTTTTTTTGAATAGCGCCATGGGATCTTTAACATTCCAGCTGAACCGGCGCAAGAGACTTGGTTTAACGTTTCATCCAAATTGAAGTTTGGCTGCCCCCATGTGGACAATTAGATGTCCAATACTTGAGAAAAATAAAACGGACTTTGGTTGCTGACAAGCAAAATTTTATTTACAAAATATCCAAATGTTCACACTAACTTCACAGCAACAAACAGTTTCTAAAAAACTAAGTTGAAAATGTGCACTGTAATACATTAAAAATATTAGAAAATTAGACAAGGATATTATAGCAGAAGTTTTCAATAATGTCTTTTTTTTTGCAGCTTGTTAGGAGACTTGGAATTTGTGTCTCACACCTCGATAGTTGCAGATTTATACACATTTGTAGCTTAACTGGAATTATTAAGTGAAGAAATCACACCAACACTGGCTCAGTGGTCTTGCCCCAATGAAAACAGGTATCAGGCAAGTTGATTAGTGTTGGTTAATGAAACACGCAGCTCTTCCCAATAATTTTATAACTATATTATACATGCTTACATTTTACAACCTGTCTTACAAGTTTAGACACAAAGGTTTTATAGATTTAAAATAAAATATCAATAGAAGCTCATTTAAAATTAGATTTATGAACGATTATTCTCATATTACAATTGATTTAATAGTAAAAGTAGATAAATCTTTGCATAGGAAATAAAGCAGTAGGTGAGTATCATGAAAAATGAGAACTTTAAAAGATAAATTGAAGAAATTTTGTGCAATAATGTACTTTACATAGCTTATGATATACACTATCAGCAAGCTCTATTGAATGTTTTCTTTAAAGGATCATCTCTCATCAATCTAAGATTACTCAGCAATTAGTCCTGAAACATTTCCACTAATGTTTAATTTGTGTAATACATTTGTGCATGTTACCATGAAAAACAGATCTGGATTATCTGGGTTAGCAAAATTTCAAGATTGGACAACTTTTTTGAATCTTTCTTCAGAGGCCTTAGCTTGGGTTCTCTGGCTGGATCTGCCTAATGATCAGTTATGTAATAAAAATGCTGCAATTTAAAACTGATCCAATGACACATCTGTCTAAATTATCAGGTACATCTAGATTTTAAAAACATAACCTATTTAGACACACTCAAAACAACCCATGGTAAATTGTCTCCAGTAATTTCCGCATAAAGAGAGCGGGTTCTGTAGTAAGATTAGAAAGAGGATATGAATGTACTGAGTGAGAAACAAAAGAGGAGACAGGAAATCAATAAGGAATTCACATTCTAAATACAATTTTAAACTAGATTCATTATTTGTGTTCATTTCAGGACATTAATTTTTTCCAAAGATTGTCATTTGATCTAATATAATTGTTTTTAAAAAAACATTTCTGAAACCTTTGTGTCTAATTTCATAACTAGTGGAAACATTTTCGTACCAACATCACAATCTCTATCAATAACAATATTACACAAGTGTTCTAAAAAAACCTAGTAAAGTTACTGGTAACCTTTATTACTCTACATTTTTTTTTGCTAGTGAGAATCAAGCACAGAAAGTAACCATACAAAAAAAATAAATAAAATTAAATAAAAAATACAATACAATAGTTAAGTGAAGCAATAAATTAAATGAGAGATCTAGAGGAAAAATAACATCTTGTACGCCAGTACATTTGCTCCCTTGGATATAAATTGCTAGTCACCAGCAAATTTTACTAGTGGTTCAAATTATTTCAAACCCTGATCCTGTGCAGTCATTTATCAAATCTCTCCAGTTATATCATTTTGCTCTTCCAAAAATCACCTCAATAAAGTGTTTAACAGAAACATCATCTCTTTTGTGCTAATAAGAGGGTGTAACATTGAAGTATTTCCTTTTGTCTCAGTGACAGTACGAGACAAGTTACTTTTTCTTGATATACCGCCATTAAGAACAAATATCCAGAGTTCTGATTGGAAAGTTTGGATTTTAAACACCTAACCACATAAATTGATTTTTTTTGGTTCTAGCGATTGGTTTAAATATTCCAACTATTCAATTGTTGTATTTTTCCATCTTATTACCTATTAAGCACTCCCAGGCCCAAGTACATACATCACTCACACTAGTCTTACTAATCAAAATGCTTCTCCTGGCTTGCATCAGCTGGGATTTCCATTCTCTCCTCACCAAAATTTAGGCCTAACCAGAGCTGAGGCTCCCAAGTTAAGTGAGACTTGTTGTGAAACCACATCCATTGAAAATTGGGCTGAAAGTTACAAGATCACAATTAATCACTGACTAATAACAGCTGCCACGGTGAGTCTACTGGCACCTTCATTCACTTACTTGTAGCTGAATTCCAGGTGTGAAGTTCAGTCATCAAGTCTGAATACATGGCAAACTGCACCCGAGGCTCCGCTCCACTATTCTTTTGTTGCAAGCTGTAGATTTGTTTCTACTCTGTACTAATAAAATGGTCAGTCTGGTGCTTAGAGAATATATATTAATTCACTATATAAACTACATGAGATTTTTGGATTGGTTGCTATTTAGGAGGATCTTGCCTCATAATATCTGACAGGCCATCCAGTGATCCCTCTTGAAAAAGGGTCACATTTTTTCCAATGCTATTACGAGGCTTTCACCACCCAACATAAATTAACAAGAATTTGTTCAGGAAGACACACATCTAGTAAATGCTAGACACAATAAAACAAAATATAAAACAAATCTTTTCAAGGCTCGGGTATTTACTTTTAACCTCTCTGGGATTTTAAGCAGCTATTTTTCTTCTTTTCCCTTCATTTATCCCAAGATTCTACCAGTTGTGTGCAGCAATTCTCATTGAAAATAATCAAACTGCAACATTTCTTCAGAGTAAAAAGATTAACCACAATGTTGGGGAAGCATTGCACAAGCCAAAGTATTGGACAAAACTTAGGTTAAAGAGATCATCCATTTTGTTCACAAAAGTGAGGGTTTCATCAATTCATACACTGTTTTATACATACATATGTGTATGCCTTATATTTTACACTGTAATAACCAGTCTGTCCTGCCCACTTGTGCATTAAGATTTTCATTGGGATAATACAAAAAAAGGTAAACCAGTACTTTTTACTGGTTAAATATATAAGCATCGCCCACTTCAGTACTAACTAAACAGTTTCATGAAATATTTTGAATATAGCTTTGCCAAAGCTGGCTGTCGAATTCAAGCCCCGATGTGCAATAAATAAATGATACACAGCTTTGATGAAAGGTTCCTTCTATTCTCTCCTCTAACATTCTCAAAAAACAAAAAGACTTGTCATTTTTGGTACCTCACAAAAATATCACAAAAAATTAAACACACAAACCGAAATTCAAACAAACCTTTTTACACAAAGGAACATAATAATGCTACAGCAATTCTGTAATATAGAAAAGTGTAGGAAAACAAGCAGACCCACAGAATAAGTACAGACGTGCTTTGCCAATTTAAAATGAAATTGTGACCAACAAGGAAATGTGAAAACTGAGCTGTGAGAAATCTACAGAATGCTGGGAAGTGAGTACTACCTATGCTCTGTGAGAGAAGGTGACCTGTGCAAGAGGAGGACTGCCGAGTCTGGTGAGCAGACCACTTCATTTCTCCGTGAGTGAAAGTGCTATTGCTGCATGTAATGCTGCTTCTTCATCAATGCTGTAATCCTGAAAGTTCAGAAATGCGAGAGGTTATTCCACATCTGCGAGAAGAGAGGATACACTTGGTAAAAGTGAAATCGGAAAACAATTTTTCCCACCTACGGCTGTGAAAATACACCTTTACCCTCCCTCAAAAAACTGTAGATGCAGAATCGATTGGGATGTTTAAAAAGGAGATACATACTTGGGAGGTAATGGTATTAAGAGCTTTGGAGAAAAGATGGGAAAATTGGAGTAAAAGAAAACTGAATCTGTCTTGAACTAATAAAATGACAGAACAAATTTAAACAAAAATGGGCTTCCACTGTTCCTCCAGTTGAATGACAGGTTCTACCACTTTATTCAGCCAGATTATCCTTCAACTCCTCACCTTTATCTTTTGGGAATGTGGGAAAAAGAAAATGTGCATCTTCAGTTTGAATTTAGTCTGGTTTGTGATGTATTCACTTGTACGCCAATTATTTTATGTGAATCTTTCACCAAACATGCAATAGTCACCTGTGGAATTGGGTGAATGTAATATATTAAGGACATATTTTGTCAGGCAAAATAAACATTTTTCCCCCATTGTTTGAATGTAATTTTTTCTCTGTCCCGCTTTAAGAATAGGCTATAAATACTCACCACAAATGTATCATAGGAAAACTTGTGCCGGTGAAACAAATGTTGAAGGAAATTGGCACTCTTGTAGCTCGGATCCCCCCACGGCATTGCCACACAAATTGGACATACCTGATCAGATAGATGTTCAAAAATAAAATCAGGAAAAAAGCTAATTCAAGGAGAAATTACTAATCTATCCTCTTTCTGCTTCCACAAAGCCCTTAGCATGACTATCTCACCTGCAAGGTTTTGTTAAGCATGAGCAACATGGGAGGCAATCTATTATCTTCTTCCTGCCTCCCATAAGACCAGCACTTACAGTAACTGATCACTGAATGCAATCTTTCTTCTCTCTTCGTTCCCCTTCCCCAATCTTTCCCTTTTCAAAAACAAAGGTAGCAACTTGGATAATAAAATGCAACATTTGCTCAAATAAATTATTTCCCCCAGCAAACCAGACTACATCATGGTAAAGGTAACAAAACGATTTATACTTTAGATATCTTTTCGTCAAAATATGTTTAACTAATTCTTTTGTGATACTTCACGTCAAAATGTCTGACAGTGTTTTGTGAAATTATCAATTAAGTGACCTTGCCCCACAATTGTAATCACCCTGACTATGTCACATAATAAATTGGGCACTTACCACTTTGTTGGGATCATTACGGTGATTATCCATGCAGTGTTTGACTAGCTCCTGTTGATCAAGGTTTCTTGCTCCACAGTATGGACAGGTGAACGTTGAACGGTTTGGAATATTACTAAAAGAGAGTAAACATATTAAGATTTTTTAAAGAATTAATTTGCCAAAATAATTCGCTATTTCATGATAACATCATTGGGTGTTAGACCATCACGTAAAGCCCATCTCTAACTGGCTAAGACAAGTTCTAAACCTCAAGACAGGTGTTTGTGAAAGTGAACAGATGTAGAAATTCTAGCACTGCTTCTCGATAGATGCTTCTCCCTTACCTGGGAATGGGTTGGGAGGTAGGAACAACTGGTACAAATTTGGGACAGTTGTCCATTTGTTCCTGTACTTTATTGCAGGATGAAATGTGAGTTCGCATCTTCATCAAGGTTACCTGTAGACAATAAAGAAACACATTATATTTCAAACATAGAAAAACTTCATACTATTTTGTATTCATCAGTCATACAGAGAACAAAAACCCTGCTGACTCAGTTGAAGTCCTCACAAGAGCTTCAGGCAGATTTCAAATTCAGTAGAGGAAGCAACATAGAGACTTGTTACAAAGGAAGATAAACTGTGGTTGATGCTTATCCTCAACAGTGTGCAAACTAGACAGGATGAACAACCTTTTCCTTCATGGGTTTTTATTGTTAACCCGTATCCCTGCATTGTTTTAATGTGTTGCATTAGAGTAGCAAGATCTGTATTCTTAGAATTAAAAAAGGAACAAATTCAACAAAACTTTAAACCTTAAAGTGATATACATTTAGCATAATTTAGTAAGCAAGAAAATAGCCAATGGACCATTTAAAGACAGTTGGCTACAATGATCAGTTGAGTGAGTCAAATGGTCCAACTTTACTTTTAGGATCTCGTTTCTAACTGAGATACAAGACTACATGGTTAGTAAAAGTTGCTAAAAACGGTACTAAAATTTACTTTTGAGCATCTAATGATTACTACAAATCTTGACAATATACTGAACCATTAATGTATGAAATTATTTCCATATAAAATTTTAAAACCAAATAATTGCAACATGAGACGAGTGATAGTCAGAACATTTGTTCTGCTAAATGTAATACAGTTGGTTTATCTAGCAGCATAGGAGACAGATCATATTGCCAGTCCATAACAACTACTCTTTCAATATAAGGAATTGTGTTGCCAAATGCCCTGAACAGCTTGGAGATACCAAATGAATCCGATCCCATGAATAAATTAAATACTGGACATTTACTGCACAAAAGGTTACTGAGCTCTTTTGGAACATAAAAACACCATAAAAATGGTGTGAGTTTGTATATTTTACCTTTTTATTACATCCTCGACATGGAGCTTTATACGAAGAAAGCTGCTTTTCCACATTGGTGGCCTTTTCCACCTTTTTGGGGTCAAAGGGCATTCGGCAAAGTGGGCACAGAGGCGACACCACTTGGAGGCAAGGTTGCAAGCATTCTCCACAAAACCTGAGAGACAGATTATTTATTAGCAGCATTCAGTAATGTTTGCGGGAGACTCATTTCAGCAGTCAACTCTGAATTAGAGAGGAAATAACTGTCACATTTGGAGAAATCTGATGTATTTTAAAGTTGTCAAGATGACAAATCAGCATTAAATGGATACCAAATACTTTCACACTAGGCCTGTTGAAGCATAGTACTTTAGCTCAATGGAAAAGATGGTCCTTACTAATGCTCAATTGCTGTTCTTTAAAACAGACCTGCGGTTTTTTTTATAAAAAAATGAAACCTGCACAAGAAACTTCCTGTGTGGGGAACCACAATTCGGTAAACATATGTCAGCAGCATTGGACTATGTTCAGTTGTCGTGCAAAACTATTTTTTTTTAAAAAACTGTCTTGTCTGTTGTGAAATATATTATTCTTGGTCAAATGTTAAACAATCTTTAGTCTTTCCATTCCTGACAACCCCTGGAAAGCTATTCAGCCAACAAATGCCACTCTGAATGGAGCTCAGCTCTGATAATATCTGAAAGGTACTATTGGTAGTACTGAATTGAACAGTTGAATTTTACCATCGATTTGAACCGTGTTGTTTTCACCATTGTTCAAATAGCTGCATCCTAAAAGCTGACTAAGTTGGCGTGTTGCAGATAGTTCTCATTCTTGAAAATAGAACTTGAGGAGGCAGTTGGCCACTATGAGGTACGCAAACAGATTTTACCTTTGGATTAGAATGCTGACATTCTGTTAGCTTTTAGCATGTCAAGTGATTTTTTTTAAAAAAAAGTTCCTTAAAGCTGTGACTTCATGCTACAATTTAACAATTTCTGGAACTTACTGGACTGCAGTTATTAACTTAAATGATTGGTTTTATATAGCTCAGTCATGTAACTAAGAGTTGCCCGAGCTCATCCTGTACAAAGAGAATTCTGCATCAGCAGTATATTCCTATGCCAGTGAATACTATACCCACAAGCTCAGCTGGATAAATGGGCTCAGCCTCGGTTTGCTTTTGTTCATTTCTGGTTTATAAAGGCTTTGCATTTCCAAATTTCCTGTTTATGATAATGTTTTCACTAAGGTAAGGTTTCAAAACATTCACTTTCGGAGCCTTTGCTTTGAAATTTCAGGCCAACTTGCTTTTTTTCCCCCCCTGAAGTAGCATAATGATCAACATAACCTCATTTACATTTACTGTTCCCCGATTTCATACGTGTACCCAAAGAATTGCACACACAGAAAAAAAAAGTTTCACTTTTATTACCTTTGCAATATAGACTGATGCAAAGCGCATTTTAAAAGTGAAGCATTTGATTTGAATATTTTCCTGAAGTTTTTCAACAAAAATACAGAACTCAAGTAGATCATTTCTTTTACTGGTGGTGTGTGTGGGGGGGGGGGGGGGGGGGGCGGGAGTGGTGGGGGGAGGTGTGATGCAACAAAACACCACTTACACGTCAAGTCAAACAACAAGTCATTGAAATAAAACATTTGCATGTTTTTGCTGTATATTTTTTTTACACACACACAGACACAAACACACACACACAGTCTGCTACAGGGATGTGCTCGGTTATCATTCTCCTTTTCGGTGAGGCTGACATTGCTCAGCAGGTTTGGCGGGGGGGTTGCACCCGACATCCTGACACACCGTCAATTTTATTCGAGGGTGCAAGTTGAGTGTGGAAACGAGCTGAGAGGCGAGAGAGACTGGTGCGCGGACGTGAGCCCCGAAGAGGTAAGAATGGCAACGCCGCCTTGTAGTCAACTGAGCTGAGGTGCCGAGCAGTGCCATACCATACCATACCAGCCCGCCTTACAGGAACTCCACAGCAACCCCTTTCACCGGATTAACGGTCCTCCAGAAAGGGTGTGTGTGTGTGGGGGGGGTGGGGGGAGGGGGTGTCGGTGGCTATTCTGCTGGATATGCCCTATTGGCTGCCAGTGTTGATAAACACGGCTGTCCACACACACACACACACACACCCTCCCCCACACACACCCCCTCCCCCCACACAATCCACACACACCCCCTCCCCCCCTCCCCCCACACACACCCCCTCCACCCACACCCCTCACATACACCCCCTCCCCCACACAATCCACACACACACCCTCCCCACACACACCCCCCCCCTCCCCCCACACACACACCCTCCCCCCCTCCCCCCACACACACCCTCCCCCCCTCCCCCCACACACACCCTCCCCCCTCCCCCACACACACCCCCCCACACCCCCCTCCACACACCCCCCCTCCTCCCACATACACTCCCTCCCCCCACCCACATCCCCTCCCCCCTCCCACCCCCCTCGGCCGCGCACAGCCATTGTCTCGCACTAATCCCGGACCCTCTCACTCACTCACTCACTCGCTCACTCACTCCAGTTCTTCCCGAGCTTTCTACGTGCAAACTCACGCGTGTCCGCAGCTGGCTATGGACACCGGCTTGTGGTACACCTCCAGGCAGATCGGGCAGCTGAACGAATCGGCCAAGTTCTCTCCCGCCGCCGCTGTCGCCGCCGCCGGCCTGTTTCGTCGGGTTCCCGGAGACTAAACTCCGAAACATCGCCATCGCTGACCCTCCACAAACCTAAACACCCGTCATCAAACCGCGCCGCGCCGAGTCTCGCCGAGGCGACGCGTCATCATCCCGCGCCGACCCACCACCCCGAACAGCCTGACCTCACCGGCCGGGAACGTTGCCACGGAAACGGCGCCATTTGCCCTTCCCCGACCACCTCCCCCCCCCCCCCCCCCCCAAAAAAAAAACGCGACGTTATTCTCACGGTTAAAGAAAAAAAAAGGGGGAGGGGGGGTGGGTGGGTGCTGCTGTACATGTATGTTAATAGATATATATATGTATAATAAAAAGAAGAATTAATAAGAAAGTTATTACCGAGAGGAGGGGGGGGGGGGGGCGACAAGAATCCGCAGGAAGTTGCTCCCCCGCTCGTCGTCGTCGCCGCCGCCGCGCGCGGTCGGTTCTGAGTGCGTGTGAACTGAACCGAACTGAACGGCAGGGGGTTGGGAGTGGGCGGCCGCCGCGCGCCGGTTCCCGCTCACCCGCCAGTCAGTCAGTCCGTCCGTCCGACCAACCAACCAACCAACCGCCGCCCACGCGCGTGGAAGCCGCTGGCGGGGTTTCAACCGCGAGCCAGACTGACAAGGTTGGTGTCGTGAGAGGGGGGGAAGCAGGAGGCTCGTCCCGTCCCTGTCGTCCGAGGGACCATGTGTCAGGTGGAGGAAGACTACAAGGACGAGGCGCTGCAGAGGACGGCGGCCTTGAGGTGAGGGGGAGAATGAGCGGCTTTGTCCGCGATGTTGCTGTTAAGAGACGTAGAGAGAGAGAGAGCGAGAGACGCTCGGCCTTTTCTGCGGCCTCTGCCCCCCACCTCCTCCTCCTCCCCCCCCCCCCCCCCCCGCCGCAGGGAGGGCTCCCACCCGAGGGTCGAGGTGTTAAAAGCACAGACATATCGTGAACGAATGCAACGTTTGGGCCCTTCACACTCTGGCCTGGGGTTGGCCACTCAAACGGCAGCTCATCCCGGGCTGTCTGTACCTTTCGAGCAGTGGTTTTCTACCAAAGTAACGAGCTTCAGTTTTTTTTGTGTGCGTGTGTTTATATATATATATATATATAAATAAACACAGCGTGGGGTTGCTTTGTAAAGAACGGAGATCCAACACGACCGAGGGAGAATAACAAGAGACTGGGACTAGTGGGAAGCGGACAGCAGAGGGGATACCGAGATAAGTGGAGGGCGATCTTTCATTTCGATTTTGTTAAACGAGATGGAAGACGGTCTCAGCAAACGGATCCACGTTGGCTTTTTCGCCTTAAATTGCCGTGAAGCTGCTGCGCTTTTTAAGGGGTCGATCCGATCACACGTCGGAGTGACTGCAGCTCCAGGTTCTTAGCGCAAGAGCTCTACCGTTTGTCCAACAACGATTTGAGTTGGAACCGGTGATGTTACAGGACAGTGGGACACTGAATTATGGTGTCTTTTGATGTGTTAAAACCATCGGAACTGGTTGAAATCGAAAGTTATTCATTAACATATACATGGACAGCTGTGCCTTCCAGGATCAAGACTCGTCAAACAAAGTAGGAATTCGCAGCGCTTTGGGGAGAAAGGTTTATTCAATTCGAATTGAGGTCCAAATGAGACCAGTGTTGTACTATTTGCCAGTGATCGATTTGACATTTCCAATCTTGACAGAATCGTGCTCCTGAATGAGACAAAACTGAGTTACTAAAGCTGCTGTAAGTAAGCTGCATCTTTATTTCTAACTTGCTTCGTTTTTCTGCAGTGTTGGACAAAAATGTATGAAGTGTAAAGAGGGCTGCGCTGTGGTAGTCATTCGAGTTGGAGATGCGTTTTGTAAGTAAGTATTACGTGCTTCTTCAAATTTATTTTTGAAAACTTCACTCGCGTAGCACACTGGTTTTCAAATTGATTCCCAATCTGAAAAACAAATCTGTGCAGTTATATTGTAATAATAATACAATCTATTCAATTACATACCAGATATAAATGTACGTCTAACAGTCCCAATACAAATATTAATAAGCCGGTGGATTGTTTGAGTCTTCAAAATGAGTATCTAAATAAGCATCTGAAGGATCGTATGTGGGTTCAATTATCTGGTAACATTTCAGTGGTTGACCAGTGTGGTAAAGCATTCATATGCTTGTGACTGGAAGTGTTACATTGATGACTGTTACAGATTCTGTATATATACATACTACACAATTTGAAAATAGTAACAATGCTAACTTTAATTAAAAAAAGCTGGTTTGATGTATTATTAATTAGATTGTAATATATAATACTTAACAGATCTGGTGAGCCTGATTTGGCCAAGAATTCCCATTTTGTGCTTTTTATATTACTATTAATTTAGGCCAGCGTACTTATTATGGACTAAAGATAGCAGACATAAGACAATTATCCAGAATACTTTACATTTTCTTAATTTATGTGTATCTTGTTACTCAGATCCTGCTTCAGAGACTACTTTGTACACAAATTCCGTGCTATGTTGGGAAAAACACGCCTCATTTTTCCAGGAGAGAAGGTGAATAATCCAAGGAAAAGTATTATTTCTAAAATTGACTATCAGTTATTTAGTTGTTAGCGGGTAAACTAACTACAGTACTTTGCAAAAGGAAGCTTGTGTTTGATGCTTTATTCCAGTCCTTGAAAAGTCAAAAATGCAAATGTTCTATTCTTGTATATTTTTAAAAAAAACTTTTTAATCATCAGGATTAATTACTTGAGAAATATTAAAGGGGAATAAAATGCTACTTGACTATTGTCACAGAAAAAAGCTATAAATATTGAAGATACAGAGATAAAGCAATGAAAGATGGATGGAATACAGTCATTGATCTTACTTGCTAGAGATGTGTCACTTTGTTATTCATGATGTCAAAGCCAGTTATTAGCTCATTTTAGAGTAAGAAAATTGTACTTATATTATTTTTCCAGTGGAAAAATAGTCTGGTGCCAAATATTTCACTTAATTCTCTGAATGTATGCTACATTTTACTTGGACTATGAGCTGACATTTAACAAAGCTGCACTGTACAGCAATGACTGGGAATGTACTTGTATTTTCCATCTGTTAAATTGCTCTATTATTTTTCTGAACAGGTCTTATTGGCATTATCAGGTGGCTCCACATCGAGTTCAATGTTGTGTCAGGTTCAAGAGGTATGGTTTTGTATTTAGTGAATTTTTTTTGCCTTTATAGTTGCCACTTTCTCACCATCCCATCTGAAAAGACAACAGATGCAGTTTAGGCCCCTCCTTCATCATTGCTTTTCCACTTGGAGGTGCTTGTTTTTAGACTGAATCCTGATTGAATAATCTACTCTGTCTCTAAAGATCTAGACTGACATTGCAGTGCCTGAGGAGTGCTGCATTGCAGAAGGTTCTGCCCTTCAGATGAAACGTTAAATCAAATCCAGATTGTCTGCTTGTTGAGATGGATATTAAAGGTCCCTTGGCACTATTCAAAATGGAAGGAAGTTTCTCCAGGTGCCCTGGGTGCTATTCCTCCGGATAAATGGTATTTCACCTCTGAGTCTGAGGGACTCTCCTGTGTGCAAAGTAGTTGCTGTGTTTGCAAACAAAAACAGTCTACAGTTGACAGTAATTACTGTGAAGCACTTTTAAAATGTTGACGTTCTAAGTACTGTACAAATGCAAGTAATTATTGTAACATGTCTGCCAGTTGTCCGTCCTAGCTAGTTAAAATGAATTTACTCTAGAATTCTTAACAGATGTCCGAGTTACATTATCACATGGACACATATATAGATGGATATTGTAGAAGTATTTTGTGGGAATAAAAGTTTTGCTAAATTGGTGGTTGGTTAAAACTGTTCAGCTAGCACAGTTTGATGCCATGAAATTTAAAATGTTTCACAGTATTCCCCCTCAAAATGACTTGTTTTTCACAGCTCGTACTATTGGAGTCCTTCTTTGATGCTAATAGACCTTCGTACAAAAAGCAATAAGGCTTTGGTGAAGTGAATTAGATAAAGTGGAGCCTTATTACATCAAATGCTTGTTAAACAGCAATATTGTTAAATCAATGTTAGCAATTCACTGTTAATGTTCTATAACATTTATTGTAAATTTAAGTCCTAACAATGGGATAAAAGAATGAAATTGTAAGTTTAGCTAATTTATATTAATATGGAAACACTTTTGCACAAATTGAGTGCCATTAAACAAGTTTACAGCACATTAAAAATCTCTTTTTCAGGGTTTGAGTAGAGAAGCTTCAAAGAAATTGCGTTTTTCTCCTGGGATTGTCCATATAGATGGTAAAGTACTGCGCAGCTCGTAGGGTTTTATGTAACTGTTTAAGTATTGTGGTTGTAATCAGCATGCAATTTGTGTGGGTGATCATGTGATGGTCGAGGCAACATTTTTAAAAAATCATGATTAAGTCATTATTGTATATCTAAATTTGTCGGAAATAGGGAATCTGATGGTAACAATGTGAGGCTGCTATTTGTAGAATGGAAAGTGGCTTTAGTATTGAAGGCATAAAGAACCTTTAAGATTATTATATCAACCAAATCAGATTGTTTGAGCGATTAAAGTAAGATGGGGGGAATTTTGAATTTAAATACAAAAGTTGGCATTCAAATATTACCTGGTTTCTGCTGTTTAGTTTGGTTTGATAAATTGTGTGTATGTGTGTGAAGTCGTTCTGAGACTATTAGATGCAAATGGTGAATTTGTTCCTATTTTCACATATGTAGAGGGAGCTGTGTGTGGTCGAAGCGCAGAAGAAAGACAGGAAACATTAATGCAGCTGGAAGCCATATTCCAAGCTTCAGGATTTCCCTATCACATAGTCTATTTAGAAGAGGTAACTATTAAATGAATCAAATTTTAAATTTGTTTCTGCAGTGAAACTTACATGATTAAGTGTTGGTAATGAGTAGCAAGATTTTGCAAATATAAGTGAAATTGATATATTTTTAAAAAATGCTGACCAGTTTTCTTTTTTTAAGGTGTTCAAATTGCCTAATTCCATACTGCAGAGTGTGTCCTCCAGTCCAACAAGCCATGGCCAGAATTATAAAGAGGCAGTGGATGATTTCCTACAAAAACAGCGAGAGGCCCTGATTGATGTTGAACAAAGACTTACAGTTGAGGATGAAAGGAATGTCACGCATTCAGAACAGATTGAAGCAAAATTTGACCAGCTCAGTACCTCTACTGCTGTGAGGAAGAGAATTCTGCAACAATTTTATCAGAAACTTCCCCCAGTGGAAAGTGGCCATTTACCTTGGAGCAAACCGAGGCTGTAAAGGAACTGTTTAGTTCAGTAAAGACATTGACGGCCAAAGAGGAGTTGCTGCAGACATTACGGTAAATTGCAAGATCTCTGATGTTCCTTCACAACACATTGTGCTCCCCTGCTATAGTGATCCCCTTGATATATTGAGAGTATAGTACCTAAAATTAAAAACACATTTTTTCTTTCTTTTGTCACGAGCTGGGTACTTTGCCTCTGCTCAGTGCTCTCTGCCTGATAAAACTTTTAATCCCTTCAAGACTTGTTCAATATTGCTATTACTATCTATTTAACCTATTTTATTGGCCATACAGATTGGGTACAAATGTAGTTTGTATTTGTTACTACTCATAATTTCCAGTTGTAGTTAATGCTTTGAATTAACAGCTCCATTATATACAAAGTGTGCGTGTTGGTTCCATGCTTAAGGTGCAAAATGGAGCTGCTCTGGGTTGACACATTAAATTGAAAGCTTGCTTGCTTGAGCTTGCCCCCTCCAAGCAAGCAGCTGCAAGTACTGATGTCAAGTCTGTGAAGAACAGTCAACCATTGTAATATAGCCAACTAAGTGACGTCAAATGTTGCTGATTTCATCCTTCAGCAGCCACATTGCTAGTTAAGTTGTATGCTGTTTCACAGATGTACAGGACTGGTTTTGGGCTGCTGTTTATCCAGGGAATAATTGCCAAATCCCTGTCAATGGAACAAAAGTTTGATTTCAGATTTAAATTTTTTATCCCAACAAGGTTTTTACTAGATAAGTTAATTAGAATAATGAAACTTGAGTTCTGATCTATGAATTCATTGATACTAATTTGTATATCTTACATGGGAATTTTTTTTTGATAGACATCATCTGATCCTGCATACAGCAAGGAACAAAGAATACAGTAAGATAATGATGGGAGACAGCTGTACGCGATTGGCAGTAAAACTTCTGACTAATATTTCTCTGGGACGTGGAGCCTCATTGGCTGTTGATACAGTAAGCATTAATGTAGATTAGCTGTGTGGAAGATTTGAATGAAGCTTCTGATATCTTGTTCTGCTGCAGAAAAGTACAACTTCTTTGGGATAGTTCTGGGCGTCTGTAGTTACACCAGTTAAAATATCTGAATTGGAAATTTGGTCCCAACTATTTTCATTTTGAAACATTGTCTTTCATTATACATTGTGGAAGTGAGGCCAAATCTGTTGTAAAAACTTTGACCCAGACCTTGTATGTGTGGTGTTATGCAGGATATTCTGCACAATGTGACTGCACTATTTAGATGGTAAATTTGTATAGAATTAAAGTGGATATTCAAAAATAATCTAATACGGAAAAAACAGAGGTATGGATTCTCGTTACTTCCTGACATCTGTGAGTTCTTTGTAGCAGCTGTTAATGTGGTAGTTCATAATTCTACAATAATCCCTGCATTTGACGTTCCGCAATGAGAAAAGTGTTATATAAATTAAAGCTGTTGTTGCATTTCATGTAGCACCTATAAAGTCTCAAAGTGTTTCACAAGGAATTGCTCAGGGAAGTTGCTTTATAATATTGTTTCTTTCTGAACACAGGGATTTTCAGATAATCGTTATGGAGACATCATGATTTTACGACCGATGAGGGAATACTCATCTAAAGAAATTGCTTTCTACAACAAACTCTTTGAGGTTCCTACTGTTTTCACTCCAGCATTGGACACAAAGGTAAGAAACTACTGCACTAATTGATTCAAATGCCTTCTCTAGGCAGATATTTTTGCTAAGTCTGGCGTGCCGAAATGCCAGTGTACAAAATAGCAACTCGGGTAGATAAAGTTCAATATTTGTAGAGGGGAGTTAATTTTAACATCATTCTGTATTCTGTCACTGTACTATTTCAAAGGAGAAGTTGCAACATATTTTAAATTGATGTTCTGTTTCAACAACTTCAATATTTCATACACAATCATAGAATTACATTGACTATTACAACACAGAAATAGACCATTTGGCTCAACAAGTCTGTGCTATTGTTTATACTTGTGAGTTTCCACCTGCAAGATTTTGCAGTTTTGCTTCCAAAGATCCTGAGAGACTCAACAAAATGTCTTCCATACCTCCAAGCTGTTAATCTGTTTATGCCAGATATTGGTGAGTTTATGCCAGATATTGTCTGGTGAGTGGAGAGCTAGTGATTGGATAGGTGATCCATTATGCCCAGCCTTTTTACTCGCATATGATTTTGCATTGTTCAAATTGCAGCCTGAAAATTCAATAAGGAACAAATATTTTGCACAGGTTATTTATTCTGTATGACATAAGCTTCTGTTTTCTTTCACAGGCCAGTGATAAAGCTAGTATCCATCGATTGACAGAGAGTTTTGTCAATAAATTACAGACTGATTTTCCATCTACTGTAAGCACTGTGTACAGGTATGAATTGTTCCACTTCTGTTTGCAATAAGGAATAGCAAAATGTTCTAAAACATTTGAACTATGGGATGTGAAGAGGGTTTAAAGATACAACTACACTCCAATGTTTTGAACCACTTTTTAAAAATTATTTTCTCCTGTACAGTGTATGTTACCCTTATTTCACCTTTGCTTTTCCGGCTACACATCACTGCTTAAACAAGCAGCTTCCAGGCAGGCAGGAATCAGTACGCAAAAGTAGAAATCTCTTCCCTCAACACTCTTCTGCATATCTTCACATTTTTAATGGATAAGATTGGGTGTGGATCGTGTATCAAACTGAACAATATTGTCATTGTAATCTCTAATTAATTTTCTCAATTTAGGACCAGTGAGAAGCTGAACACAGCTTGTTCGGACATAAACAGTGGGGTTGAACAGACTGATAAGTGTTTGCTTTGTCTCTGTATTATGGACACTAAAGTAGGTATGTTGGAAAATTTAGAAACTAATAAATACTGCAGCTTTCCTTAACAATGTCGTTCTAAGAGTGTTGTCGTGCTGAATGTGTTTTTTATTGTTTTATGTTGTCCTATGGTATGGCTTCCTCAAACTTTCTCTTCTAAAGTTATAAGTGCAGGGGAAGTGTGACAAGACTTTTGTATACTCATCTCGTTTTCTATTTGGGGGAGGAAAATTTAATTTGTGCTTAAAAGATGTAGACCCTCAATAAATTGCAGGATTTGTTAGCATGATCTTAGAAATGACCATTGAAGGAAAATAAATTAAGCAATTCAGATTTGTAAACATTGACATTTTTCATTTCCATGAAGAGGAAGCCTCAGCATTCCAGGCAACACTAATATCAGAGAAACTGTCATGTAAGCAATCCCCTGACCAAATGCCTGTCAACAAGGTCTCTGAGCAATCCTGCTGTGATAATCAAGCTGAAGAGAAAGGAAAGTGCTGCAGTACAAACTCAGGAGCTTGTCATCCACCAGTAAGGTAAGCATGTGCACCTCTAGATTTAGACCTTTATGAAAGATCTGAATGACCTTTGGTCAATCTACGCTTTTAATGTTGAAACTTTCAAGTTACTTACCAGTGCCTGTTTTTTTTGTCATCTTTGCAGCAACACAACCACTGATTTCCTCACGCTACTGTGCTATAGCTGTAGACTGACTGTGAAAGATATGGTAAGTGTGATCATAAAAGTAAGTGCTGCTTTCCCACATTGTTTAAATGTACAATTTTAAAGTTTCTGCTTAGATTGGACAAATTAAACTAAAAATATTAAGTTTGTATCGGTCGTATGAAAATCTGATCATTTGGATGGTTTAGATACTCATTCAAAACAATCCAGTAGTTGAATCTAACTTATTATTTTTGCAGGTGTCACTGTCCCTTTTACCACAGTACGTTTTGTCTGAAGCAGAACGTAGAAAACGCAGGTGAGATTGATTACAGTATACTGAAGGATGGATTTAATTATTTTGAAGCTAGTCTCGAATTAGCGTTAAATCTCCACGCTATTCTAACCTTAAAATAAACTTGTAAGCTTGTGTATGTGAATGAAGATATCCACTTATCTTGCAAAGTTGTTTTCCTGTGCTGGAATCTTTCTGCAACTGATACCTTCGAGTGTTTTACCCCTTCTGTTCATGAAATCCTTACAATCAAAATTAAATGTTGAAATGGAGACACTTATATAGTAAATCTGCAATATTAGAACCACTTTAGTGGGACTCCAGCATTTAATTCTCTTTTTGAACATTTCAGAGCCCAGGTGAGAGAACAGATCCAGGAGTTCCTATTGCCTCCTGAGGACGAAAGCGATGAAAACTACTGAACATTGCAAAGAACAAGGAGCAACCTCGCAATTTTTCAAGATTAGACAAAAGTATATTTAATTTGGGAATAACCAGTAAAGTATTCATCGTGGATTTCACATAAAACAAAGCCAAGCAATATATAAAAAATTATCATGCAGCTTGAATTATTGCTGTTAGATTGCTACACATTTGCTATGACTTCCCAGCAAGAAAGTCAATGTCAAATGGGCTGAATTATAATCAATGGCACCAAGATGGATCTCTCCCTTTAAGGCTACTTAATATGTAGTTTTGTATTCTCATTTATTTTGCGCTGCTCCTGCAGGTTGGATTTAACTTTAAATGTTAAGTCTGTAAATACTAACGTTGTTGAAATATTAAATAAATTTGAAATGTACTCTCTCCCACCTTTGGTTTTGACCTACCTGTCTGTGTGTCAAGCTCTGGACTGTTGAGAACCTTCAGTATCACATCCCTTTTCAAGTTCGCCACAATCCATTTTTCTGATTTCTAGTTACAGCAGCTTGATTAGGACAACAAAAAACAATATCAAAATATACAGTCAATTCAGTTCACAATATATTCTGTGAAACGCGGGGGGGCTCTCGAAGATGTGGTAAGGCACTATATCAAATGCAAGGATTATTATTGTCAAAATCCGTATTTTAGGACAGAAGAGACAAACATGTAGGTACCAAAAATGTATTTAATTGTGAATGGAAAATTGCAGTAATATTACCAATAGACTCAACAGTTCAACCAGATCAAACTTATTGGAATAAAATGGAAGGTAATCGGGCTCTGAACACTTCAGATGTGTTACAACAGCACATAATAGAGCTCAGTTTGTTTTTAACCCGATCAAAAGAATTTGTTTGAAGCAGTAGGTTCAGACAGAATAATAGCACCACATTCACAGAGAGGTTCTTTGTTCGCCCTGTTTGTATAATTTCCTAAAATTGCTCTACACTATTTCAAAACATTTGGTATGCTTCAGAGACAGGTTTGGAGGAAATCTGATGGGTATAGTAAGATTTTGGCAGAACTTGAAACACACATACAAAAACTGAAACAGCTGTTCTCATCGGTCACCAGTGAATGAAAATAATTACTGCTTTTCTTCATACCCACAGACATTAGAAACCTCTACTAGAAAAAGGCACATTGCTTTGGGTTTATGGTCCTATTACAGTAACAATCTCCAAATTATATCCAATACTTATCATTACTTGTAGTTCTTATCCAAAATGAAAATCTATTGGTAATAAGCATACTTTTAGACAAATGAAGTAATATTGGCATAGACTATTAAATCAACACTATTTTGCAACAGGGCTTGTTCATGTCTCTAAATTAGCTTGAAATCCACTCATCATCTGTTCTTAGCATTTAACACATCAGTAAATCATCTTGAGGTTTCTATAAAAATTCAGAGAAACAAAGCTTTCCATTCCTGGTAAAATGTGCTCACTATCTATGCAATGGTTCCATATCTAAGTTTAATCCCCACAATTTACAGAAACTGCACATAGGAATATGCACATACTTTCCGAAAATGGGACTTCCAGACAATTTTTGTTACAATGGCACATCATTCTGAATATAGCTATTGTAAAATGGAACTGATTATGCTTTACTATTTCTAAATGAATGCAGAATACAAAAATCCCACCGTGTGTTCAAATCCACTTACAATCTCAAAATTGATTGTTGATCCCTACTCACTAATTTGGATTGCATTTGCTCACATCTTCATATTGCTTTTTTCTGGATTTTACCCAGAATTGTCATGTTGGTTCAAGTTTCTCTTTGTAGCTTTGGTTTTTAACTCAACTAGAGTCTTATAAAATTACATTTGTTTTTTAAAAAATCGAAGCTTTAAAGCTCTCTCCTGACTGAAAACATTTTTTTTTGGCACAGAGATAAATGATTAAGACTCCTGATTGCAGAATTCCAAACCTCTACTAACATGAAAGTTCTGACCAAAAGTTCTATATTTAATAAACTATGAAAATAAGTATTTACTGTTTGTGTTCTCAAAGTTTTTTTTCCTTTGTAACCAAAGTAACTATACTGTAGTGTTATTCTAAATATATATTTTAGATATCTAGAAATCGTTGTGGAAAGGCTTGGAAAATTGTCTTAAATATAATTTGTTACTCCTGGACAGTAACGTTGCAGTACACGGTTTGTGAACTAAAACGTGCCAAGTGATTTTTCTAAAGCAACACTTACATTGTCTAGCAGCCTTCTTCCTGCACTGAGTTACAGGGCAATACATCTTTTAGGTTTTTATGATTATAACTAAGGAAAACAATGACCGTATCCTTTCTGTCTGAAGTTCCCAAATTAGAATCACAGCATCAATCTTAAAAGTGTGCATTAGCTGATACAAACATTTAGTTTTTACTATTACCATTAGTGTCCCTGGATATCCTGCAATTGCAACAACTGTGACGTGACCTTTATGCGAGATGCAATTAATCTGTTGCACAAGAGCTCCATGTTAATATAAACGTCATTTTTCATTTACGACAATTAGGTAACAGTGAAAATCGGATTCACTTAGAAAAGTATATTGATTTCTAAATTCAAAGTTCTGAAAAATGTACAAAAGCGAAACATAGGAAAGCAGTTATTTGACACTGTTGTGAAGTCAGGTTTTCACACTGCTGACTATTGCAACATTCAATCCAGTTTCCTATTCTCTCAAGTGCAGCAAATGGGCACCGACTGTCCCACGATCCTTGTAGACTCCTCAATGTGAAGAATTTTCACCAGAGCTGGAGCGACATAACATCTCCTTCACCTTGTTGCAAGTAATCAAAATAAATTGTGAATACGTGATCTGTAAAGCATTAATTTCCCCCAAATAGTATAAAAATATAGTGTTATCAATAATGTTTCAGGTTTTCATTTTCTTTGTAGAATTATAAAACAGCTTGGCATTTTTGTTGAACAGAAAGTAGAACAAGGTTATTAAACCTCAACATTTCCCCAAGCTTGATAAATGTGGACTATGTTCCTTGTAGTGATGGGTTAATAAATAGCTAGGGCTGCAGCTTTAACCCAAATTGGAATAACCAGTTAGAATAACAGAAAAAAATGTTAAAGTTGTTCCTCGTGCAGATACGTAGGAGAAACAAAGTATAGCCCAAACAAGTCTCAGTTTTTGTTCAACGTGTAGCTTTCAGATAGAGGACACCTGTTGTTTCATGTCTCAAAGTGAACCTCTTACAATAGTGTTTGTTTTCTAATGCATCAAGTCCACAATACAAGACCCATGATACGTAAAAAAAAAAAAAAAATTGCTCCCGCAGCAAGAATTGGAAGGACGTGAATCAGGTTTCATAATTTCAGAATCTGAGGTAACTCTTCCACCAGGGCCCAATGTGCATGTTCAACTCGGCTCAGCCGAGAGAGTAAGAGAGAGACATACGCAGAGGCAAAGAGGGACCAGAATGACTGATTAAGAAAAGAGTCACACCGCTGTTAGTCCTCTCTTGTCCATTTGATCATTGTTTCAGGTGAGCGGTACAAGAAGATGAGTTTGGCAAAGAGCTCTTCTTCCAGCTCAAACTCTCCATTCTCCCGCACCAGGAAGATATCATGGCACAGTTTCAGCACCCGATCCACGCAAGGCAATTCCTCAAACATGATAGAATGCGAGATATCGCTGAAGAATTCACGGACAAACTTTCCAACCACCAGCACAATTGAGACATATAGGCCCATTATTCTGGAAAAAAAATTGGAGTCAAAATATTAGTCTTCCAGTACTCTCGGTGATTAATTCTACGATCAACAATTTACATCGTCTGAATCAGTTTAGTTATATTCAGTTTAAACTATCGCACTCCCAAGCTGAAGAAAATCTTAGCAAAATGTTACTTTTGAATTAAACAGAGTAAACATACCCATATCCAGCAAGGAGACCGAGACTTGGTGGGCTGACCTTGTCACTAAAAATTACCATCTGCAGTTCGTTGCACGCATGTTGTTTGCATTCTTTCGATTTGGTCTTAATCACCCACCATTCCAAGATTGAGTCCGTTTTATTCGCATCCAATTGGATGTACCTATGCAGCTCCATCGTCACATTTAGGTAGGCATTTTCTGTCAATGAGAAACCATTTCATTGTGGCGGTCGATGAAATAGAAACGGCTTTCATGAAATAAGTTACTGTCCAGAATACATTCCCGGTAGTGAAAAAATTCAATGCTTAGTCATAGCTGAATGTAATAGGTAGAAACATAATTAATTTGGAATTTTATTTACCAGTTTCAAAATACGCTAATGTTCCTTTTCAAACAAATAAAAAGGTGGTTTTACCTTCATTAATCTGGTGAACAGGTTTCGCTTCTGGCCCATGTGGAGCTCGAGTGTATTTTGGGATCATATGTGATATTACTCTGAAATTAGTCATATTGGAAATATCAAATCGATTCATATACAGATTTCTGCTTCACATCAACTTGTAGTGTAGAAATATATCCACGAAACAATTATGCTCAACTTTAGTGTTTATTAATGACCTTGAAAGTGAAGTGTTTGAATGTGCACCTTTTTTAACCAGTTTCACTCTCTCTCTCTCTCTCAAATGAGACATATGACATTTAGGCACACATTGAAACGGAGTCATGATGAACCATGAATTAACTAGGTCAAATCTTTATGCATCTTAAATAATTTAGTTACTGACATGCTCAACTATTTTTTACCTCGTCTCAGCGTTTTAATACAAAGCAAAAAAATTACTGAGACATAATAATAATAATCCTTGCATTTGATATAGCGCCATATTTTGTTGAGACGTCTCAAAGCGCTTCACAGAATATAATTTAAAGTGAACTGACTGCATAATTTGTGGGTGAAACGCGGCAGCCAATTGCGGACAGCGGTCTATATTAATCACGCCACCGTACTACATCATACATTTAGAGAAAAAAAACAGAAGTAAAATTGAAAGCTTACACAGGCTCTTTGCGATTCCCTTGAAGAAGATTGGCTAGCTGTTCCCGGACAGGGTCTTCGGGGCTCAGGTTAATGATGTGCTTATCTGATGAGTGCTCCACTGTTCCACCCAGAGTCAGGTCTCTGCAAACAAAAAATGACCAGAAGATAATACTTTTTATTAACCCATAAAAATGCATTAGAAAAGTTGTAGGAAACTGTATGTTCATATATTAATCATTATTGTTGTCTTCTATTCTGAAATCAATAGAAGACTGTCTCATACCGTGTCCTCAACTGGAATTACATAAGTATGAAGAAAATATATCCTTGATATAAAGGTTTTTCATACACTTTGAAAATCATGCAATCATAACATTACACAGTACGGAAGGAGGCCATTTGGCCCATCATGTCTATGCCTGGGATCTAGTTGATGCAAAATGATGTTCTTACCTCTGGAAATTCCACATGTAGCGAAGAGTCATCACTGAATTGCTCTCCAGTTCATCAATCATTGCCTTACGACTGGGTGGGCTGATATTCCAGAGAGACCCTGAGTTCCCCTCTACGTGTGCAGTAATGATATCTTCATAACTGTACAGTGTGATAAACTGCATAGCAGCCTGTAGAAATTGGAAGGAAACAATTTTAATAAGAGAACTGGGAAATCGGTTATAGATCATACAGCAGCAAAATAACTTCCCGAGGTGGTGATCTCTATTGAATGCACTAGCTTTGCCCTCATGCAAAGTACGAATTGCCCCTTGAACAAAAATAGAACGCATTTGGATGCAATGATCTTACTTAAAAAAAAACTCACTGGTTTTCGTTCAAATGTTGAACAGAGATCTTCATAATCCTTTTGGGTGAATGGTTTTAGAGACTGTTGTTGCGCACTCATTGTAAATAGAGGCTGTAAATATAAAGTTAGATTTAGGATTAATTACAGTGGCTGATTATTATGCATAAGTTTCTCTCAATTAGAAGAGAGAGAGACAGCAAGCATGGATATCGAAAAGATGTTGCATATCCCAGTTTTGTATACTGTACACTGGGAAAGTATACATTGTTGGGAAGCACCCACTTTCTTTTAGGCAAAAGTGCATCATCACAGGTTTCTATAGTTTTAATTCTGATCCAACTCCTTACCTCGTAACCTCCAAGTTTGACAGTTACAGTCACATCGATCGGATGATTCACCACTCCCACCACGGACTTGACCAGCGACATGAAGAGAAGCGGAAACCAGATAACACAGATGAGGAAAGCGATGATGAGGCCTCCCATTCCGTACTTCACAATCTTCTTTTTCTTCTTACCTTTAGGCTGTGGATATCGCTGCACAAAAGATAGATACGACCACTTACAAGTGGAATCTGACAGGGTTTTGAAACTATATTGGTTCCAATTTCAGATTGAGATATTTTCCCACTGTTGCTTGCAACAAAAAAATAAGCAAATGCAATTCTAGCAATCCTAACAAGAGTTTGTGACGATCAGGAGGTCAGACCAGGTTCATTCCCTAACTTCAAGTTGTCCATTGTTTTAGCAATACCGAACCAACAGAGAATGGTCAAAGCTGGTTTTCGGTAGAAATCAAATACCTTTTCAGTCTCACGGCTGCACTTGATGATGAAGATGTTGGCGTAGATGTCCTCAACACTCATCCAGCTTGAGAGGGATAATGTGGTGTCTGTCCAAACCCAGTCCATCACAGCACGAAGCTCCACCAAAAATGGCACAAGACGGAAGCTTAAAAAGAAAAGCAAGAGAACTGTATAAACATACACTTCATTAATACTATGTGTCAGCGCCTTGGGACGTCCTCCTGACGTGAAAGGCGCTTTATAAATGGAATCTTGTTGTTGTTGTTGTTGTTGTGTCTGTTAAAATCTTAGCAAAACACAAGAATTCAGCTGACTTAATAAACAAGCAGACCTAAAGCAGTAAGTACATCAAAGTACATCATTTGAAGTACATCAAAAGTGAATCTCATTCAGAACTTTACTTGTTGCTATTCCCAACTCACCCCTGAAAGAGGAAGAGGTTCAGGTGATTGTACTTTTTTGTAAGGAAATTGCCCAGGATGCGCGTCGGATAGCCACAGCGGATCTGGTACGCAGACAGAGCAAAGTAGATGCATTTTACGAAATACCAAAGCTGTACCACTATATTGTGACTAAACATTCTGTTTGAAAAAGAAAAAGCACAGATACATCGAGTGAGCAGCAGAGTTGGTAATCACTTACTGTACTAAGTGTGTATGTCTGGGTGAATCTATATTAAATCCATTTACACATGCACACACACCTTCCTTATCCTTTAATACATTGAAAGGAGCTCAAGTTTCTGTGTGAACTGTAATAAATATTGATTGTAACCACATTCCCAAAAATATATAGTTCTAGCTATTGAAAGATTATTTCAAACTGCCCATGAGTCTCTGTACCAAAGACATCTCAGTACCGTAATTGAACTTGATGTTTGTCATCACTAATACAATGCATAAATAAAATAAAATACATTCCTTCCTAATCATTTCTTGGCTCCACTTAAATGAAATCCCCTTCTAACCCAGTGCTTCCTCCCTTTGCCCCTCTCCTTCCCCACGCCCTCTTACCGCTCCGAGACTGCAGGCAATATGAAGAACATCCAGACATGGATTCCAAAGACAAGGAGGACCTGGAAAATGAGCTTCCCCAGCACAGTTTTACGAAGGTATAACGCGCGGTCGATCACCATAGTGGAGAACTGAATCAGCACCATCACCAGGAAGCCCTCAGGGACCTGGTCATCAGACAGCGATGATGCAATGTCTGCCGCTGCCGAATGTTTCTGTTCATTGAAGAAAAACATTTGTCAGTATCTCAAAACCCAAACATGCCTGTACAAAAAACACACGCAAATCAATGAGACTGCAAGAGTAGAATTGATGCAGAAGCTTCAAACAACATATCAACAAAATCCAGGAAATAGGGTAAAAGGTTGCAAAAGCATCAAGGACCCATTTCCAGCCTTTCCAGTTGATTGATTGTGTTGTGTGTGTGTGTGTAGGTGAGAGGCCATGACCATCTTGCCCTCTGAAATTCTGCTCTCTTCCTCTCAAAATTCTACTGAAAGCATAATTTTCAACTATACTTTTGGACAGCTTCCCCTTCCTGTGCTCCTCATTGTTATTACTGTATTAAACTCTTAAATCTTGCCATTGAAGGCTGCTCTTTTTTTGACTACAAGGTTTCTTAACTTCAAGGTGCCCTTGATAAATAAAGGAAAGGGGAGACTTTGAAGGTAAGATGTGAATGGAAACTATTCACTTACTACATCAACAAGAGTTTTTTTTTGTTCTTGCAAAAGCACTAAATCCCAGAATATATTTTCTTGGTAACAGAACAGTTTGGAGGAGTGTTAATAATAATACTTGCATTTGATGTAGGGCTTTTCACGTCTTCCAAGTACTGTAAAGTGAACTGACTGTATATTTGTAGGCGAAATGTGGCAGCCAATTGCACACAGCAGTGCCTCACGGAAAGTCATGGGTTGAGTATTAGTATTTAGTACAGTATTAGAAGCACATTTTACAGTGAAGGATCAGATACTCACTCCAAATGCCCAAAAGCCAAAGATGATGATAACAAAATCAACCACATCTGCCAAAAACATGAGTGCGTAGACATCGGTGGCTGCACGGTATTTGGTGTGAAGAATGCTGGAGAAAAAGCTCTTCAGTGGCGTGTAAATGCTCATAGCACTGAAAACACACAACAACAGGGAACAAAGTGACATCAGTTAAAAATAAATCAGGAAAACGTAAAAGATTTTTTTTCAACTTTGAACTTTCACGGTCAGTGTAAAAAAACCTGAGCCCTTTATCTTCCAGCATTTAGTTAATTTACCACTGTTCATCCTGAGAATTAACATGTATGACAGCCAATATGCACACTTACATACTAATGAGGAAGTTCTTTACTTTCTTCCCAAATTCGATCAGTTTCTTGCTTATTCTTTCCCTCTTCTTTTTCTTCTTCTTTTTCTCTTTTCGTTTGGGCTTTTCAGAATTTTCTTTTTCTAAAGAAAAAACAACAATGTTTTCCAATAAGCCATTTCACGTCATTCACAGGTCAAGATCTCTAGCTGTGTGGTCCCCAGATTGTACCTATCCAACAACGTAAAAGCTAGCACAACATCCAGAGCTTTCTTTTGTAGGTGTTAGCTTGGCTCAGTTGGTAGGACTCTTGACTCTGTCTGAACAGGTTTTTGAGTTCAAGAGGACTTTAAGGCTCTTCGTGTAAGATGACACTCCAATGCAATCATGCGTTAGTGCTACATTGTTGGAGATGCCATCCTTTGGTTGAGATGCTTGTTCAGGTGAACGTTAAAGATTCCTTGGCACTATTGCACACAGCTTGTGTAAAGCCAAAACCACACAGCACTCTACCTTTTCCAAGTTTTTTTTGATTGTGATTGTGACAACATGACGATCACTAAACATAGGATTTGATTCTCATTAAAATAGCAGAACCTCTGACCTTTGTCTTGCTTTCTCCTCCTGAACAAGAATCTGGATGTTTTCTTTTCAGGTGTCTGTTCATCTGTTGCTGCTTTTTCCTCTTTAGGAGCTTGCACAGAGTTTATTTTCTTCTCATGGTTTTTTTTACTCTCCTCCTGCTCGTCCACAGTCCATATCGCTAGAGAACAAAAAAATCAGAGAATACAGTTTCACAGGATTACAGCACTTACCTCGTTCTTCATCTTAGTTCACTAGGTTTTAGTGGCCTGAAAGGATTTGTTTTGTTGATTCAGCGATGTGTTTGTGGTGCTAATAATAATGCTTGCCATTGATATATTGCCTTATCACATCATTGAGATGTCTCAAAGCGCTTCACAGAATATACTGTGAAGTGCTTTGACTGAATATTTTTGTGGGCAAAACGTGGCAGGTAATTGCATGTAGCTGTGTCCCACAAACAGTTTGTGGATTGTTTATTTGTTTTGGGGATGGGATTTTAACCCCCGGAAAGCGCACCATAATTCGTAATACTCTACAAATGTCTGAGTCTACATATTTGCGACGAACCTTCAGGAGGGATTGGTGGAACAGGAGTGCCAACAGCTGAATCAGATCGTATTTGAGATAATCATCACTCTTGTACAACCCAGGATCCGTGGTGGGAAGAATGGTTTGTCTTCAAAAAACGAAATGATGTAGAAGCTATTCCAAGGGAAGAATCCAAACTGGAAAATGTACTTCACAAGGATCATAATCTGCCAAGGCAAACAAGGGCAAGTCATGTCAGTGTAATGCACAGTTAGGTTATCAACAGTGAATTAGCCTGGTTAGAGCATACAGCACAGTTAGCGTATTGACTGCCACGTTTCGCCCACAAGACGTACAGTCAATTCACTTTACAGTATTTTCTGTGAAGCGCTTTGAGACGTCTCAACGACATGATAACCAAAACAGATCTCAGTGATCATTTCAACTTCTCCTATTGAAATATTTGTCTAAACAACTTAAAGCCACAATCTTTTTTTGAAAAAAAATACGTATATTGGTATATTTTCTAGCAAATGCATTTTATTAATAAATAATAACAGTAATCCTTGCATTTGATACAGCACATTGTCACGTCATTGAGACCTCGCAAAATATACTGTAAAGTGCATTGACTGTGTAGTTTGTGGGCATCAAATATTCCGACAACTCACCTCTGTGTAGACGATCGCTACCATCCAAAATCGTTTGCTGGGCCTCGGGATGGAGAGCATTCCCAGAGAAAGATGAGGATGGGGAGGAAAAGCGATATGACGGACGCGGAGATCATGTTATTCAAGATGATGATGAAGTAACAGGTTAACTCGGAATTAGCAGCAATAACATTGTACACAGCGTATACCAGCTTCAGGCATCTGTTCTGAGAATCGTAAAACTTTTCAGAATCTTTCAACTCTTGAATGCAGAAGTTACTTGAAAAGATAATCATAAAAAAAATTAGCCTGTTCTTTGTTTCGTTTAATATTGAAATATTTAAAAGCTGCTGTCGACAAAAAATCTTTTGCCCTTTATGGATTATGAAGTGTTCACACTGTTTAGACCAAGACCTTCTAGACATTTAGGTCAACATCATCTTTCTCGCGCTTTTTTATACTTAAATTGCAGCCTTTGTAATAAACATGACATCAGCATCTCGCCACTGGAATAGTTCTGGGTCAACTTCAGTTCCAGAAAAACAAAAACAACACAGGGTAGTGTGAAGGGCGCTATATAACACACGCACACGTGCACACAGCACTCTACTTTCTATGACTGGATCCTGTACACGCCTGTACACATACCTGTTGGCAAGTAGCTCGCTGGCAGTTCTGGTCCGAATTATAAGGTAAACGTCCAACTCCTTGGAAGGTCTGACAGACTCTGGTGGATCCATGTCCAACTTCTGTCCCTCAGTACATGCATGTGTTTCGTTATCAGGATCAAGCACTGGGATTTCTTCTCCATCCTGAATGCTTTGCACATCTTCTTGTTCTCCTGCAGTGCCTTGTGTCGAAGGGCATAGCACCTCCAACGGACTGGCTCGTGCACTTTCTACATGGATGTAGACTATTAT